ACGCAGACATCTCTTAGGGGACTCTGTGTAGGGCTGCTCAATTAATCGTATTTTAATCTCATTTACGATTATGGCTTGCAACGATTACGAAAACAACGTAATCGAAATACAACTATTATTTTTTAGTATTATTAATAATATATATATTTTTTTTTTTTATTGGTTTTTCAGTTGAATTATACTTCAAGTTCAGGGTAATCAACTGTTTAAAACATACTGTTCAAATTTGCCATGGTGGCCAAAACATTTTTATTTGGTCTTAAATTGTAGTTCAACATGTATTTCCTGTTACTTCTGGACCATGACGGTGGTCCAGCCTTTATATATATATCCTTTATTTAACCAGGTAAAAGACTCATTGAGATTAAAATCTCTTCTCCAAGAGCGACCTGGCCAAGAGGGGCAGCATGTACGAAGTTACAACAGATACAACACAGACATGACAGGCAGACAAATACAGCTGTAAAACACAAATAAAATGGCACATTAGCCAGTCAATATGCCAAGTAAAACAAACTATTACAAATCATTCAAAACTGGCAACATTTAAAACGATTTTAGGATATACGAGCACTCACATCTACCAATGGTGTCGTGTTCTCTGTCCTTTAAGATGGACCTGAACTCCCCCATAGTGATTACATCTGAGAGTTTCATCTCCTTCTGTACATTGTTCCAAGCTGTGGGGGCAGCATATTTAAAAGCTGTTTTACCCAGTTTTGTTCTCACTGTAGGAACCAGCATCTGAATCAAATAATATAATAAAAAAACGTATAATGTTTAACTGAGTGGAATATGTTGAATATGTTTTACCAACATGTTGGCTATGTGTTAAGGAGTTTTCAGGTTGGGACAGTGCTCTGCAACATGTTTGTTGATCTTGTTTATTGGTATTTATTATTTTGATATTATTTATTTAAATGTAGATATGTACATTTATTTAATTTAATTTTGTATTGGTTTTTCAGTTGATTACCCTGAACGTATAATTCAACAGTTAAAAAGTTCAAATTATTATTTGTATTTGTTTTAAAGTACAATAAATGGATGTTTTCAAAGTCAATGAATAATCGCATTTAATAATCGCAATTACAATTATTGACCCAAATAATCGAGATTATGATTTTTGCCATAATCGAGCAGCCCTAACTCTGTGTCTCCATGTGTTACTGATAAAAGCTCAGCTGGGTTTGAGAGTTTTCATTGTTCGATATTGACCAGACCTTGACGGGAAATCAAAGTGACATCTCTCTGGTCATAATGTCAGCTGCAAATCATTTATCCTAAGCACAATTTGAAGTGTACTAAAGAAAGGTTTGAATAGACAAGTCAGCACCAGCCTCTCTCATCGATGCTGCAAGTGTGCAACGATATGCCATCACTGCGAGGACATTTCTCAATGGTCTTCAATGTCCTTATACATTATTTGGTACCACTTTACAATAAGACTACCCTTATAAAGGGTTTACGAATAGTTTGTAATTCATTTATGAACTGAGATATCAATTGTCTGAGATATCAATTGTCTAAGCACATTAATCAACACTTACAATATTTGGCTAGAATTCTTTAAGATTTGTCTGGGAAATTGAAACTATTCGTTACCAATTTGTTCCAACAGAAAAGCTTATTGAGATGAGTCTCTCCCTTCTGCCCCCCCCCCCCACACACACACAGGTAAGCAGCTGCTGCCTCTGTCCAGCAGTCTGCACGCCGGGGTCAGTCAGATGGCCTGGCAGGGGCCCTCAGGAGCATTTATAGGGCACGGGGCCACCGGGGGACTGTCTGCAGGAGATGGGAACAACCTGGTCCGCATGAGGAGCCAAAGCCTGGGACAGTCTGCTCCGTCACTCACCGGACTGGTCAGTACTAAAACCCAACACACACACACACACACACACACACACACTGTGGTATTTCTCCTCAGGTCAGGAAGGCTCAAGAACATGCCTGTCCACACGGGAATCACAATTATTTCGGCCAGGATTATTGTGACATTGTCATTACTATATTTTCCCAAGCCTTGTCCTGCCCATATATGGTCATCACCTAGCAATTGGGGAACATGATACATGCACACATTTGATTGTATCACGGATAACTTTTCTGAAACATGATTTGACAGAAATCAGACTTAAATTAGGCTTTTTCATCCTTTAAAAAGTATAACCATGCTATCAGGTTGTCTGATATCTGCAGACTCACAGTGAGCTGTTTGACTGGAAGTCTGCCAGCTGAATGCAGACTAAGGATGACTCAGGCTTTCTCACACACACACACACACACACACACACACACACACACACACACACACACACACACACACACACACACACACACACACACACACACACACACACACACACACACACACACACACAGGAACTTCACATCCACAGAAACACTTGTTTGCTCAGTACTGAGAGGAATGAGTGGAGCAGAAATGACCGTGTGTGTGTTCACTCGCTTGTGGGTGTATTGGGTTTAGATGCAGCACCGTGCTGAGCCGTATGGCTGGAGTCTAGATGAATGGGCTCTGCAGTGTGTGTGTTTTTTGTGTGAAAGCACTACTCTGACCCCTGCTTGCTGTGGAGGGTAACACTAGAGGAATGCTGCCTGCTGTAAGATTTGACCTTCCTATGTTCAGTTACACTCACAAAACAAAACATCATTTTAAAGCTCCATAGTTATAACTTAGTGTGTCTTTGTTTCCTCCACTCTGTTTCTGTAGGTATATTAAAATGGTGTCTTTGCTTAAGGTCTAGAACTAAAACAACAACATCGGATGCACAATATGAAACCTGTTTAAAGGGACTGCAGTTGGAAACCACCAGCAGATGGCATCAGTGATTTGCGTTTCAAAACATCACCAATAGCTTTGTTTCATACCTGTTATACACCTTGGCAACTGTGTATGTTTGATAAATATACATATAAACAATAGATGGATAAGTCCAAGCTTGTTTGTGTTGCAGTTGATAGTCTACATTGATACGATAGATGTTTTTATTCATTTATGCTCTATAGCCCCCACCTCAAAAACAAATCAGTGGACCTTCAGAGGTCTCAAAAAACTCTCAAAAGTGGATTTGAAATGATGACGGATTGCCACTTTTTCACCTTAAAGGAATCATTCAGCATTTATGTGAAACAGTTAACACTTCACATCCACATGATCTCACAGTTTCAATGCATACATTCACACTCACATGTTGAACATTTCTTACGTTCCTTTTTTCTGCAGATGTGGTGTCCAGTCTGAACAGCTCATAAACTCAAAGGATGAATCACATAGTAAGCAGATCTTAACATATAAAGTCTGTAAATACTGATCCAGGGATAACAAATACATGTTTTCAAAGTCTCTGTGGTCAGGGCGGTTAAAGGACCTTCATTTCACTAGGACTAAAAAGACAAAATGAAATGAATCTGCCATTTACTTTGGCTCCTTTCTAAATGACTTCAGCCAGCAGGAAATTGCAGCACGGTTTGAAAATGGTAAATGTGAGAAACAGAGTTATTCTAGTTGAGCAAATAATCACAGGTTATTATATTTCTCAAGGGCACATTTAGTAATGTTTTCCTTTCTCTTGGCAGCCGCACTCCTCCACACTGTTTCTCTCTGTCACTGTTTCATTCACTCTCGCTCAGATTCTCAATCAACAGAAGTACAGAAGTGCGTGCGCATCATATTTCAGCCTAGTGTTGATCCTCAGGGTCACGGCTGTCAGAATGTTTGTGTTTGGCTTAAAGCTCCATCTCACGCTTTGAATTGACTTACTGTGAGGGGAAAACACCTGCGCCCCTCGGGCTCATCTCCCTTCTTCTCTCCTGCTTTTCCTCTGTGTGTCATATTTTATGAAACAGTGTTATGATTCATAGAGGCTGATTTCCATACAATCTGTATTCATTTTTGCACCTTTAAAAGTGAAATGGATTATGTTTTTTTAATAGTGTTTACGATTTACTTACAAGGTTAACACAGTTTCACTTTTCTTAGAGGCTGCTGTCTTTATTGTTACCATTACTTTTTTGTAGTATGGATGGGATGTTATGGAGGAAAACTATATTTTGATAATAATGACCCTGCTGCAGTAACATTTGAGATGTTCTATCGGAACCCTGGTGCTTGGAAACACTACCACTTTTGAGGTGAAAATTACCTCCTTTTCTCAGTTTTATATATTAAACTGAATGTTTTTGGACTTGAGACTGACAAAACAAGACATCAGACTTTAACGAGCTTGGATGGAGATTTTTCGCCATTTGTATTTTGTGATTTGACACACCATACTTTTAACTCATTATTCTAACAAATAATCACCAGATATACCGCTAATGGAAAGAAACTGTAGTTGCAGCCTTAAGGAGCGTTAGCGTTCCAATCCAAAACAACACCATCATCACCTCATGACCACTACTGTAGGTATCTAAGTATTAGCCATTAGACAGTACCTGCATGCTACTATACAGTACAAACTGAGATATTTCCTTGCCCTAGAACAACATCACTTATGAAACTCTTAAATGCGTTTCTAGGAAGAGGATTAGTGTTTGATAATGTATTCGCCTCTGTGTGGTGGATTAAAAAGTGTGCACTTAGGATGTTAGTGTGCAGAAGACTTCCTCCCTCAGGGTCCATCCATCCATGTGTATGTGTTGTTAGCACCTGTGCTGTTAATGTGTCCCTGTGTGTGGTTATTAAGTGGTGTGTGTGTGTGTGTGTGTGTGTGTGTGTGTGTGTGTGTGTGTGTGTGTGTGTGTGTGTGTGTGTGGTGTGTGTGTGTGTGTGTGTGTGTGTGTGTGTGTGTGTGTGTGTGTGTGTGTGTGTGTGTGTGTGTGTGTGTGTGTGTGTGTGTGTGTGTGTGGTGTGTGTGTGTGTGTGTGTGTGTGTGTGTGTGTGTGTGTGTGTGTGTGTGTGTGTGTGTGTGTGTGTGTGTGTGTGTGTGTGTGTGTGTGTATATTAATGGATGTCCAGATGGTATTTATCTCTGGGACTAATGGCCAAGGGTCTGCTCACTTCTGTTCTCTCTCTATGTCACGCTTAAAGTGTTTGTGTGTTCCCTAACTAAGTGTTGCCAGGTAACCCCTGGGAGTACCAGGTGGCGTGAGTGTCCTGAAACCTGGACCGTACATGGACTCAGTATTTGAAAAAGAAAGATCCTATTTTTCCTCAACGAGTGTCTTTGAGAGCTCACTTCTCTTTTTTCGGCAGAGCAGCATCATTCAATGAAGTGGTGAAACCCTCACAATCAGATTAGCATTTCTTTTTCAGGAAGAAATGAAAGGCTGCAGAAAGGGGAATACAGGGCTGTATATGAAAGTAGAGTGCTGCTGTATTGTTGCAGCTCGTGTTCAGGCACATCATTAAACTGGGAGAGGCTCTCCAGACACATGACAGTTTGACACAAGCCGATTCAGGGGGATACAAGATGTTCTCTCCTGTTTTGTCATTCACTGTCAGACAGTCAACTGGAGATTTCCCTCACATTTCACATCCTGAGACAGAGGATTTCTGTCGCAATGTTTTGTTTACCTCAATGGAATAGTTTAGTTTTCTGGGGGGGGGGGGTAAATATGTATTTTTACTTGGCAAGATCTAAAATAAATCTGATCATCTTTCTAAAGTCTCCCAAACCATAAATGTTTTTGTTTTATCTATTTACCTTTTTATTTCTTAATTATTTCCCTCTCCCATACATATGCAGCGTCTATGTGAATGTAACCCGGGTTAAAAAACCTTCAATCCTAGCAAATTCCCGTAGCTCAGTATAAATGGCAGCCAGGTCACTTCCGTTTCCTTTGCTGGTTGTGATGCTGGTTGCTACGTTGATGCTACATGCTACACACAGAGATTCCTCCACGATTCCTAAACAGATTAACGTTTGGTTAACAATTGCTGCAATCAGCGGTGAGTCTTGTATTGGTAGAATGTATTTAAAATGTGTAATGTTATTGAAAAATGCCCGGAATGTGCCCGCTAGCTTAGCGGCTAGCGGTTAGCATTTTCAATAGGAAATCTACATTGAGATAGCTCCCGTTAGCTGCTAAGCTAGCGGTTAGCATGCTAATAGTATTGCTATTAGAAATATCGTATGGATGGGTCTTCACTGATCCCAATTACTTTAAGTGTAACTTTTGACTATCAGCCCTGAAGTATTGCTTTGCTGTTTACTGGCTGAATTTAAACAGATTAATGTTTTGTATAGAAATGGATATATAAATGTTGTACAACCAGAAATGTATTTATTTTTATTTAAGAGATTTATTATACAAGAGATGTATTTATTTTATTTAAGAGATTTATTTTTATTTAAATGCTTAATGGGGAAGATACTAATTATTCCTTGTGACCTTTTACAGGTCAGGTTTTTTGTTTGGATATATTTTTTTTGCCAGGTGCTTGCCGCATCTGATGACCTTTCATGGACCTTGATGGCGAGCTAAGATTCTAAACCTATCCTCCCTGCCACATGATGAAGTAGGATTAAACGGAAATGAATGAACTTTACCCCGGAAGCTTTTCTTTTGTTGTCTTTTGCCTTTACTGGGCACCTGAAAATAATCATGTGAATTTGAATGAACTTGTTGATATCTTGAATACAACTATTTTGTAACGCATACCTGGTTTCAGTTTGTATTTTTCACACACATTGAGCTCCATAGTCGTTCCTAGTTCTTCTGAATATCACTCATTTAATTACAGCTAATACACTTGCTACATAGTGGCGAGCTAGCCAGGAGCTCAATAAGTGTGAAGCTATTGTATGGTTGGGGTTTAAGTCATTTCTGTTATCTTGTTACACTTAAATGTCAAATGGATTTCGTTGAGTCTTTAGATGTATCATCCTCTGTGATCATTAGCGGTCTTACTGATACAAAAACAGATGATGAAATTGTTGAATGTTTAAAGAAATACGGGTCTATTAAGAAAATAGTTCCAGTTGATGATCCCGATAGCGAATATCAAGAAAACCTGATCGTTGACTATAAGCTTAGATCCGCATTAGCAGCATTAGATCCCCTACTGCCGTATTACCATCCTTCACGAGAGGTGGCAGACGTTACTTATTGTGTCAAAGCATTAGCTTTAGAATACACAGCCAAAATTGGCAGCAGCTACACGACACACTATCTCAATGAGCTAAGACAACTAGCAAAACATAGTGGAAAACCCTTTGAGGAAGTGTTAAAGGACATGATGAGTCGAATTGGTGAGGAACTTTGAAGAGGACCCATCCGTTAAGATCCAACTTTCAACACCTCCAACAAACCCTATTCACCTACCTAATAGAAGAACTTTCTCTCTTTCAGGAACTGAATTAAATCCACCTGAAATTCAAAGAGTTGTGGTTGAACACATAGTGAGAAAGGAAGACATAATCTCACATTCACTCTCTCCGCTTCGACTTCGTACCTTCTCTGGGAAATTCCCTAAACCCAGTAATGAAGCAGATTATGAAACTTGGCGCTCTCAAATTGAACTACTGAGTGCTTATTAGTGCTGTAGCGACGCGTCGACGATGTCGACTTCAAAATATCGTCGACGACATATTTCCGCGTCGACGCGTCGCTACACACACGTGGGTCACCCAAAGCAACAAGCAGTTCGCAATCGCACTTCAAACACAATGGAGACTGAAACGGCTATCACCTCCTCCTCACAGGATTGCGCACGAAGCCCCCAAACGAAAACATCTTGCCCTAGGTCTTCAAAAGCATGGGAATATTTTAAAGTTAGTCCAAAACGCAAAGATATTTATATATTTATATCTCACTGAGACTGCTGCATAGCCTAGCAGAAGCAGCAGCTAGCTGTGGTGGCTACCATTAGCAGCTAGCATTTGCTCTCCGATTTTTTACATAAAATGGAATTATGGATTATAAATTCAATCATTTTTTTTATACATAGACGTTAAAAACCTATGGATTAACCGATTCAGCCGCGTTTTTTCTCATTTTAATGCCATTGAACACGTCTTTTGATCAGATTGACAGCTACGGTGGTAAGACGATCTCCCTAGAAGCTCTGTGAAGGTACGTGTTGTGATGACTGTATTTGCTTCCCCTGTCGCGAGTCCGGATCACTCAGTGATGATACTATATACCTACATAATCTGTGGAGTCTCAGCTTTAATCGGATATATTGTAAGTGCAGCTACGATAAGTAATAAGGGTACTTTTATCTTGAGTTCTGTGCCAATGTCCGTTAGCATTTTTCGCTCAGGGGTCATTTAGATGCTTCTTATGAGACTTGTGTTTTGTTTTGGTAAACATGGTTTGTATCGTCAATTAACTGAGATTATTTCCGTTAATCTGGTATAACACATTAATAGGTTCTTAAATATTAAGATCCCCTGAGACACAGTATCGTGCAAAACATTTTTTTTACATTACGTTTTTTTTACATTACGTTTTTTATGAAATGAACAACATAAAAATAATCTTTCGATTAGTCGACTAATCGATCAAATAATCGCCCCGATTAATCGTTTTCAAAATAATCGTTTCCCCCCAGCACTAGTGCTTATCCTAGTCTGTCTGCCTTGCACGTCACCAGACGAGTTCTTGAGAGCTTGTTGTCTCCTGCAGCTGATGTGGTCAAAGGTCTGCGTCCTGATGCCTTACCCACCATCTACTTACCGGTTCTTGACTCAGCCTTTGCCACTGTCCAAGATGGAGAGGAGCTCTTTGCTCAATTCTTGAACACACTACAAGACCCTGGTGAAAGGCAGTCTGCTTACCTTCAGCGATTACAGCTTACCTTGAATTCTGTCGTCAAAAGAGGAGGCATTTTGACAAGTCAAATAGAAAAGCATCTCATTAAACAATTCTGCCGTGGATGCTGGGATAACACAGTCATAACAAACTTACAACTTGAACAGAAAAAAGACAATCCTCCTTCCTTTTCAGAGCTTTTGCTCTTGTTACGCACAGAAGAAGACAGACAACTGTCCAAGGAGAGCCGCATGAAAAAACACATCAGTTCGTCCAGACAACGAGTACAAGTGAGTTCACAAAGCACTTGCGCTTGTGACTCAAATTCAAAGCATGACTTCAAGGCAATCGAGGATCTCAGAACGCAGATGAATAAACTCACCAGCTCACAACTTTGATTTCTCAGGCACAATCAAGACCTGAACCAAGTGCTTTCAATACCAGACCTGTGAGAACTGCCATGACACAACACTCAAACAAGCCTAAACCTTGGTACTGCTTTAGGTGTGGAGAAGATGGTCACGTTGCTACATCATGTAGTAATACACCCAATCCAAATCTGGTCATGGCAAAACGTAAGCAGTTGCAACAGATGTGGGACGGAAAGAACACATCTTCCAATCCATCAAACTAAATGCAGCCCTTGAGGAAGGACAGGCGAGGGCTGCAGCGGATGAATGTCCTGTAAACTGGTCTCCTCCATATCCATACCAGTTACCAAAAGGACTTGTTGGCACTAAGAGCACAGCACAAGTGAGCATAAAAGAAACACAATTTAATTGTCTGTTGGACACAGGTTCACAGGTGACTACAGTTCCCCATTCTTTCTACTGCAAGCATCTATCCGATCAAGAAATCAAACCTTTAATGGATATTCTTGAAGTTGAAGGAGCCAATGGTCAAACTGTGCCATACATGGGCTACATTGAGCTTGACCTTACTTTACCTGTTGACTTTGTTGGTGAACCAGTTGAAGTACACACTCTTGACTTGGTGGTGCCTGATGTTAAAGATTCTCTGTCGTTTGTGCTTGTTGGAACTAACACATTGGATGTCCTTTACGAAAAATACTTGGATCACAACGTGCCAGAAAATCCTCGTCTTCCTTATGGATACCGAGCTGTGTTGAAAATCCTGGAACTAAGGCACAAGCAGTCAATAAATGGTTATCATGGCATTATCCGAATGCATGGAAAGAACCCACAAACTATTCCAGCAGGAGGAACTGTTGTCCTGGAAGGAGTTGTCGCTTCACAGTTTTTGCAGTCGGAGAAATCTGTCCTTGTTGAACATCCGTCTTCTTTCTCTTTGCCTGGCGGCTTGATGGTTAAATCCTGTCTAGTTGACCTTCCCAGACATCAGCCATGCCAGTTGCCAGTAGTCATTACGAATGAATCCGATCACAATATTGTCATCCCTGCGAGATCTGTGGTTGCAGAAGTAAGTGCTATTCAGACAATCTTAAAGGAGCACAGCGTTTCTGATCCAATTCAAACCTCTTCATCAGACGTTGGACTCTCAAAACTTCAGAGTTTCGACTTTGGTGACTCCCCACTCTCACCTGAATGGAAAAATCGCATTACGGAAAAGCTCAATAGCATCCCACAAGTCTTTGCAAAACATGATCTTGATTTTGGCAGAACTGATAAAGTTACTCATCACATCAAACTTTCAGAAGAAACCTCATTCAAGCACAGAGCAAGACCAATCCATCCTCAAGACATCGACGCTGTACGGAAACATCTTCAGGAACTCCTTGAATCAGGAGTAATCCGGGAATCTGAATCTTCCTTCTCATCACCCATTGTGGTGGTTAGGAAAAAGAACGGCAGTGTTCGACTCTGTATTGATTACAGAAAACGAAATCTACAAACAATAAAATACGCTTATGCTCTGCCAAAGCTTGAAGACACATTCACAGCACTCTCCGGTTCTAAGTGGTTCTCAGTAATCGATCTGAAAAGTGGATATTATCAAATCGAAATGGACGAAGCAGATAAATCGAAAACTGCCTTTGTGTGTCCCTTAGGATTTTGGGAGTTTAATCGCATGCCCCAAGGAGTTACGAATGCACCGAGCACTTTCCAGCGCCTCATGGAGTAATGTATGGGAGACATGAATTTGAAAGAGGTCCTCGTCTTCATCGATGACATCATTGTGTTTTCCCCAACATTAGAGGAGCATGAAGCCAGGCTGATGAAAGTGTTGAATCGGCTAAAAGAGTTTGGTCTGAAACTGTCCCTTGAAAAGTGTATGTTCTTTCAAACATCCGTCCGCTACTTGGGACATGTTGTTTCCAGTAATGGCGTAGAAACTGACCCAGAAAAAGTCGCAACACTCACAACCTGGCCAGTACCCAAAAACTTAAGAGAACTTCGATCTTTTCTTGGCTTTGCTGGGTACTATAGAAGATTTGTAAAAGACTACTCTGCAATCGTCAAACCCCTCCACGATCTCACATCTGGGTACCCACCATCACAGAATAAATTAAAACTAATGTTACGTACAGAAAAATGCCTGAATCCGAAAGAGCCTTTTCATGGCCGTTGGACGTCTGTATGTCAACATGCCTTTGAAACAGTCATCCATAAACTCACTACTGCCCCTATCCTTGCTTTTGCTGATCCTCAAAAGCCTTACATCCTTCACGCTGCGTCCACACTACAGCGTCGACAGCTTCAAAAACAGTTTCCAACGCGTCTGCCCATTAACTTTGAATGGGGTGACGTCACGTTGCCTCGCTTTTCGCCGAACTGAATTGTGGGTAGCATAGCGGTCCGTCTCCGGCGTCAGAAGTTGAACAATGTTCAATTTCTGACGCCGGAGTAGCCAGTGCCAGCCAATCAAGTCCCGTTTCTGAAAATCTGACAGCTCAAGCGCTAGCCAATCAAACCGCGTCTAAGCTGGGAGAGATATCCCGCCATTGATTTCTATATTTCAAAAAAAGATGGAGGAGAAACTATTTATCGCCGTAGTAAATCACCCGGTTTTGTATGACCAGACCGTCTTCACCTACCGGGATACAAACCGGAAGAACCAGTCATGGAGGGAGGTGGCAGAGACAGTGGGTGAAACTGGTAGGTTTTCGCCTGTTTGGGGAGTTTATATATACAGGGCTGCACATAACTGGTGCGCATGCGCACCTGCGCCAAAGAAAGAACACCGGGTCATTTGAAAAAAGGCGCATTTACGCACCAACATTGAGGGAGAGAGAGAAGGGAGAAGAGGGAGAGAGAGAGAAGGGAAAAGAGAGGAGAGAGGAGAGAGAAGAGAGAAAGATATATGCGAGTTGCATATGAACTCAGGGCCGGCCCGTGGCACTGGCGTTATAGATGTTCGCCTAGGGCGCCAGATCTGTGGAGGTGCTGCGCTGGCAGCTCTGGGAGGGAAAAACATTTTTTTGACCATTGGTGCTCATCCTAATTTTCGGCCTTGATGTAACAATATTCATAATTAAGTAAATGTAACACGCTTTTCACCCCGGTTACACGTTTCATTTGCCCTGTACAATGGGCGCTGTAAGTGATGAATATGGGGGATGTTGGCTTATCTGGCGCCCGCAGCTCACAGCCAAAATGCGAGGGAGAGAGAGAGAGGGAGGGTGCACCGGTACCGGCGCTGTTATTAGAATCTGGTGCTATAGCTGCTCTAACGCAGTGATTCTCAAATGGGGGTACGCGGACCCCTAGGGGTACGTTGGGGTACTGCAGGGGGTACGTGAGATTTATAAAAAAAGGGAAAAAAATGAATTAAAAAAATACCATGCATGATTACAAAAATAATCTTAGTACAATAAGTTAAATAGAAAACACAATTTTATATAAAATATTCCTAGAACCACCAAGGGGGTCCTCATATAAACTTGGTGTATTGTATTTTATAGTTTTGCATAATATATCATTTTGTTCATTGGTTTGTTAAACAGATATTACTTCAGTTGAAAAACTCCTTTGAAAAATCAGTTTCAATTTGTTTTCTTTTTTCATGCATAAAATGAAAATATTCTTAGTTTGTTGTAAAGGAGTTAATACATCACACACTGAGGGAACATCACTATATTGGAATTATTTGTATAGGCTTTTTTGATCAAACATTTTCGGGGTCGGTCAGGGGGTACTTGGCTGAGAAAATGTTTCAAAGGGGGTACATGACTGAAAAAAGTTTGAGAAGCACTGCTCTAACGGATATAAGAAGATGTTTCTACAATGATGTGGAGGGAGAGTTCTCTCCAGTCAGACCGAGAGGCTGATAACTACAGCTCAGTGAGGTAAAGGACTCTGAGTGTTTAGATAGTTCACTTTAGTCTAAGTTCAAACGATTTGGTCCCAATTTATGTAAACACATATTTCCAAGGCACTCCTTTATAATTATTGGGATAAACAGGTTTGAAATCATTCCAATGTATACTATAGGACAGTAACCAAAAATATCCTTTAAAACTGGAGAGATAAAAAAAATGCATAAATAAATGTTACGGTAAAATAAGATATGAATGAACAACACAAATAAAATAAGTTACATTCATTTGTTATTGGCTATGGTAGGTTATTGGTTATGTTCACATACTTATTTGATTACATTCACTTGTCTAAGATGACAACAGAGACTTTCGACCCAAAACCAGCTGTTGACTTGTGGATGCAAGCAGCTAATCGCAGACTCAACCAGAGAGAAAGAAGTAGACCTACATCATCAGCTACCATGTCTGACAGTCAGGAGGGTAGTGATGACAGCTTGTAGGATTACTGCTCATGCTAATGTTGTCTTGTGTTCACCTCTGCATGTGTGTTCTGTGTTCACCTCTGCATGTGTGTTCAGTGCTGTGTGTCTGGCAAATAAAGTCAAGACCCCCTCAAAAGTTACGGTTTATTTCATTTTAAGGATGAGCACCAAGCAACATCTCCAGGTGCTCCTTTGAGAACCAGGGCAAAAAAGTTATGTGCACCCCTGTGTGTGTGTGTATATATATATATATATATATTGCTCGCATAAAATCCCCGGGGTTTTTTGCTTTGTATGTCGGGGGCGGGAGATTCATGTGATTGGTTGTTGGTCGCGTTGCTCGAATAAAATCCCCAAGCTTCAGACACGCCCAGCTCCAAGCTTTTTTTGAAGCTGTAGTGTGGACGCTCCGTCATACTGACGCCAGCTCCACAGGCCATGGAGCTGTGTTATATCAAGAGCAAGAAGGAGTTAAGAGAGTAATTGCCTATGCCAGCAGAGGACTTTCCCGTAGTGAATCCAATTATCCAGCTCACAAACTCGAATTCCTTGCCCTCAAGTGGTCCGTAACAGAAAAACTCAATGACTATCTGTATGGCAATCCTTTCACAGTGGTGACCGACAGCAACCCTCTCACTTATATTCTAACATCAGCCAAACTGGATGCAACCAGTTGCAGATGGCTTGCAGCACTATCCACCTTTTCTTTTAAAATCCTATATCGTGCTGGGAAACAAAGCGCAGATGCCGATGGACTTTCCCGCAGACCACATGGTGGTCTCATTGATGATCAGAAATCAATGAAGGAGAGGGAAATAATTTGGAAATTTGCCCAACAGCATCTGTTTGATCCTGCTTTGATCCCCATTGAGCAATCCACTATACAAGCCATTTGTGATAGACAGCTCATTTACAGTTCAAACGACAGCAAACATACTATCGCTCTTGTGCAGTCCATGTCCACTGATGTACTACCGGACAGTTTTGTAAATGACAGTCAGTTTGAGTCCTCATTCACTCCTCAGCTTACTGAGACTGAGATAGCAGAAACACAAAGAGCAGACCAAACCATCAGGCATATCATCTCTCAATTGGAACATGGAGAAACAGTACCACCTACTTTGAGGGATGAACTCCCTGAGTTGCCCCTTCTCCTCCGAGAACTGAATCGTTTGGAGCTCCGGAGCAACATTCTTGTTAGGAGGAGGCAAATAGGAACTCAAAGCTCTCATCAGATTGTCTTGCCACCTGAATTCCGTCACCAAGTCCTGACCAGTCTACACGACAACATGGGTCACATGGGAATAGAAATAACTCTAGACTTGGTTCGTGCCAGATTTTATTGGCCAAGAATGTCCACTGATGTCTACAACAAGATACAAACGTGTGAGAGGTGTGTAAAAAGAAAGGCTTTGCCTGAAAAAGCTGCACCTCTTGTAAACATTAGAACCACAAGACCTCTTGAACTTGTCTGCATGGATTATCTGTCGTTAGAACCGGACAGAAGTGGTACTAAGGACATTCTTGTCATCACAGATCACTTTACCAAGTATGCCATTGCTATTCCCACACCCAACCAGAAGGCTAGGACAGTGGCCAAATTTCTATGGGAAAACTTTTTCATTCACTACGGAATTCCAGACAAACTACACAGCGATTAGGGACCGGACTTTGAGTCCAGGACAATAAAGGAACTATGCCAAATCACAGGAATTCATAAAATAAGGACTACACCATACCACCCAAGAGGAAACCCGGTTGAGCGTTTCAATCGCACACTCTTGAGTATGCTTGGAACCTTGAAAGAGTCGGCCAAAACGCATTGGAAAGACTTTGTGAAACCCCTTGTACATGCCTACAACTGCACAAAGAATGACGTTACAGGATTCTCGCCATACGAACTCATGTTTGGACGGCAACCACGCCTACCAATTGACTTAGCTTTTGGACTACCTCTTACAAACAAACAACATACATCTCACTCTCAGTATGTCCAAGATTTAAAGTCTCATTTGGAGGAAAGCTACAAGATAGCAACTGGAAACGCAGAAAATATCATGCAGGAGAACAAAATAAGATTTGACAAGCATATCATTGCTGCTGATCTTTCCGTTGGAGACCGTGTCCTCGTCAGAAATGTATGTCTGAAAGGAAAACATAAGCTATCAGACAAATGGGAATCTGAAGTGTATGTTGTTACCAAAAGAGCTGGAACATTGCCTGTCTACACAGTCAGACCAGAGAAAAAATATAGTCCCCAACGTACCTTACATAGAGATCTTCTTCTTCCTTGTGGGTACCTATCTGCCCCAGAAATCCCACTTCCGACACAAATCCGCAAGCCCATAACTCGTTCCAACACAGAACATCTAAAAAATCACGTCGACATTGATGAAGATGAAACCCCAATATACTGGTACAGTGAATTGCCCATCTCTGAGCTTTCAAGATTCACCACCATACTTGACATACCAGCAGATCCCATTAGTTCTCCTTCCAGCACAATACTACCAACTACCAATAGCACAGCCCCTGTTGGTGCAGCAGCAGAGGATGCTGCTCAGAACCTCTCTGAACTGAAAAGAACTGGAAAGGAACCAGCAGAAATTGCTAAAGAGGAACAAGCAGACATTGCTGAAGAGGAAAGGGCCCGTTCCTCTGAAGACGATGACTTGCCAATCTCCACTTCAGACAATGTGGATGAACTTCCAATACGTTCAACTAGGAACAGGAAACCACCAGAACGACTTCGCTACGCAAAACTTGGACAACCAGTATTAGACACCTTCCATACACATTTTCATGGGTTGGCTACTGCCTTCACATATGCCTTAACAGACACTGAGATTCCCTTGCACACATTGCAGCAACCAATTAGCACACAACCAGGTCCATGTCCGAGACGTACATGAGATCAGGGGGGGAAGTGTAACCCAGGTTAAAAAACCTTCAATCCTAGCAGGCTCCTGTAGCTCAGTATAAATGGCAGCCAGGTCACTTCCGTTTCCTTTGCTGGTCGTTTGTGATGCTGGTTGCTACGTTGATGCTACATGCTACACACAGGGATTCCTCCACGATTCCTAAACAGATTAACGTTTGGTTAACAATTGCTGCAATCAGCGGTGAGTCTTGTATTGGTAGAATGTATTTAAAATGTGTAATGTTATTGAAAAATGCCCGGAATGTGCCCGCTAGCTTAGCGGCTAGTGGTTAGCATTTTCAATAGGAAATCTACATTGAGATAGCTCCCGTTAGCTGCTAAGCTAGTGGTTAGCATGCTAATAGTATTGCTAGTAGAAATATCTTATGCATGGGTCTTCACTGATCCCAATTACTTTAAGTGTAACCTTGTGGGCTTTTGGCTATCAGCCCTGAAGTATTGCTTTGATGTTTACTGGCTGAATTTAAACAGATTAATGTTTTGTATAGAAATGGATATAGAAATGTTGTACAACCAGAAATGTATTTATTTTTATTTAAGAGATTTATTATACAAGAGATGTATTTATTTTATTTAAGAGATTTATTTTTATTTAAATGCTTAATGGGGAAGATACTAATTATTCCTTGTGACCTTTTACAGGTCAGGTTTTTTGTTTGGATATATTTTTTTTGCCAGGTGCTTGCCGCACCTGATGACCTTTCATGGACCTTGATGGCGAGCTAAGATTCTAAATCTATCCTCCCTGCCACATGGTGAAGTAGAATTAAACGGAAATGAATGAACTTTACCCCGGAAGCTTTTCTTTTGTTGTCTTTTGCCTTTACTGGGCACCTGAAAATAATCATGTGAATTTGAATGAACTTGTTGATATCTTGAATACAACTATTTTGTAACGCATACCTGGTTTCAGTTTGTATTTTTCACACACATTGAGCTCCATAGTCGTTCCTAGTTCTTCTGAATATCACTCATTTAATTACAGCTAATACACTTGCAACATGAAACTTTAGCAAATTGTTATATAAACTCAGGTAAAAAAATACATCCTTGCATTTCTTAGAGATATTCTTGTATATGTTTCCCTCTTTATTCAAAGGGGGACTTTTATGCTCCTTTTCAGGCTTCATATTAGTATGTAGTGTCTCTACTGGGACATGTCTCCTTGCTTTAATGTTCAAAAAGCTCTTTATCGTTCTCATACTGCCTGTGCTGCAGCACCTCTTTTCACCGAGTGTGCAGGAGAGAAACTCCCTCTGGAGGAAACACAGGGATTCTAAATAGTACATTGTAGATTGTAGATGGATAGGATTTGTTATGTTTTTATATTTATATATATATATATCATATTTCAGAAAGGTTGATACGTTTCATGGATACGCTACATCTTCTGTAGCTCTACGCTGCTTTCATATCAGAAAGTGTTTTATGCAAGAAGTCCATTATTGCAGATAAAGGGATAAATGAAGCCTGGAATAAAGGATGCTCAGTTTAACAGCAGGCACTTCTCTGTGAGCTATACCTGCTGTGTGCAGACGTCAGGCCTCAGCCTCCATCATGGTGTGTTGGAGCTGTGGAGGAGCAGGCTGAAGCACCTGCCTCTTAAATATACATGAGAACATGCTGAATGATTGCTGCACTCAGACCAAGTCGAGACAAAGACCCAGACTACCGGTGAAATGGCTTGTCATATTTCCACAGGATGGAGATGCAACTCTGCATACACCTGTGACTCGGGCTGAGGGGGAACATTGAGTCCTGCTAGAATTAAAGTACTGATATGCTAAGAGTCTGAATTGATTCACAACTTCCATAACCACAACGATTTGAAAAGAAAACTGAGATTATGCAAGTAATTGTGTTGACAAAAATGACCTCTTTTCAGTTTCAGATTTGTGAAGACTTTAATTTGGAAATTCACAAGTTCCTGAAAAAAGAAAAAGGAAGCTAGCTTAAGCCTACCAATTGTATTTATGAAAGAAGTACCATTTCCATTTTTTTTTTATGACTTCAAATGGAAAATGAAATCGAAATGTGTTATCGTGTTTTGATAATTGTTCCCATTTGTTCCTAACAAGATTATTACAAGCAGACTGTCATCCTTATGTGTGTATACAAGATCATATTGAAACAACTGCCAAGGAACAAAAGACATGTAGTATCATTGATTTGAAAGCCCAGCCATAAGTTTCACTGAGGTCCTAACCTGACTTTCCCAGTACAACACTCCAACCCAAAACACATACAGGTCTGTTATGACAGTTAGTGTTTTCACAAGAATCTTAAATGTTGTGTCCTGTTGTTAAGTTTCTTATCTTCATTTTTATTGGTATAATTGGAATATTCTACACTCAATTTTGACATATCACATAACATGTGTGCAACAATATAATCGAAACGTGGCTGTTGAAAAAGTTTTGAGATTTGAGTGAATGTTGTTGCTTGAAGCTCTGGTTGCATAAGTAGAAAGACACAACCTCTGACGTCCTTCCCCTCTATTAACCGCAGTGCGTATAAAGTTATGTATTGTCGTTCAATCTGGAGCAAAGGGGCCAAATGAACCCAATAAACAGTCTTATGTGTTTCTTTCCAACCGCAGCATTTTGTCATTATTGCTCCTTGTGAAAAGCACAGTGGCAGAGTAGAAGTGCTTTCAGTGCGGCCTCTGTGGTGATGACTCATGCTGAAGGTTGGTCTCTCTCAGAGGGACACAAAGAGCGCAGGGTGTGTGTGTGCTTCTGTGTTTCCATCAGCTTATCCTCCCCTCTCATATCTGCATGATGTCTGTCCTGCTTATATTCACATTCACTTGACTGTCAGTGTTCACACACACACACTTCTTCATCTTGCCGCAGGCTGTCAGTTGTCCTTGTCATGGATGATTCATAGCTGTGTTCCTATACTATTCTTACTTCACCTGCGGAGAAACAGCAGGGTAGCATGCCCATCTCCTTTCACTGCACATTTGGTATACTATACAGCAGCGGTCACCAACCTTTCATCGGACAGGTCCCCAGTGGAAATTACGCCATGTGTGTGTGTGCGTCAAGTGCAATAAATATATGCAAGTTGCAACACACAGAGTAAACTCTGCCCCTCATGTGTTGTATAGGCTGGCACGACTAGGCTGTGTTCAATGGGGCTGATGTGTTGTGTAGATTCTGCCAGAAGGAAAATTACGGCCACACTCCTTATGAAGCGGTGAGCTGCCGCTCCACATTGCTTTTCTTCCCGACTGCAACGCTGGTCCCGCAAATCAAGCAAGGACGTGATTGGTCGATATTCTTTGTGGGGGGAGGAGGGGTGTTAGATAGATATAGAGTTGTAGTAAGTAGATAGAGTTCGCTATGATTGAGGTTTCGTTCATGCATAGGGTAGATTCTTTTAATTACATTTCCTTTTTTGTTTTGTGTATTTGATACATTTTGGATTTGCTTGGCAAGCTATTTTTAGAACATGCCCCGCGGGCGACTCACGTTGCCCCTGCGGGCGACTAAGTGCCCGCGTGCGGGCACCGTGTTGGCTACCCCTGCTATACAGTGTACCATATGCATACGCAGAGTGGACATTTGAAGTTTGTCAACTCCACTGTTTGTCTTTGATGTGTCTTGTTTTGTCTTAAAAAAACGGTTCTTACACTAGTGTATAATTAGGCAATTTTCTCAAACCTTTTGTACAGAGCCCCTTCTTTTGTAGATGAACATATACTTTCAAGCCAACTACTCTACCCCGCACCTAGATAAACACCATCTCAGTTACGTTCTTTGTTCAAAAACAATTATATAAATGTTCTGCATACTGTATGGACATGCAACTTCAGTCTGTAACATCTTATTGAAAAAGAAACAAGCCAGTTTAAGAGTGGAGTCATTAAACACGACAGAAGGCAAACCTACCATGTAAAAGCAGTCATTGCTTTCAACAGATTTCCTCAAAATAGCCTCTCAGTCTCTGCACAAAAACAGCTTATTTTGGAATGCAATTTGTGTTGCTAAGAGTACCAACCACTTACATGTAGAATAGTCGATAGAAATGTGTCTTTACAGAAATTGTTTTTTTACATAATTTACAGAGATTGCATTGGACGGTCTCATTGGAACCTCTTCCTACTTAAGAAATAGTCCCTATAAAATCCATTGACATTACCTACTGTGGATCATGCCGTTTAAGATAGTTTTGTGAACTAACCCCTTAAACAACAAGCAACAAAACATACCCTGGGTTATATAAGAACTAGTATAGCATGCACATGGTTAGTGTATGAAATACGTTGAGTGTCCTCTCTCGTTCATGCTCAGATTGAACTGTTTAATGCACTGATTTATAAAACAGAGAAGTGTGCTTTTCCCATATGAAGCATTCCATGCATCCCCCCTTTCATATATAATCCCCTTATTCAAAATGACCTGATATAACCATGTGCTGCATAGGCTTTCTTTCTTTCTATGTTCTCTTTTGCTGTCAACTTTGCTCCTTTTTATTTAAATGTCTCTTTATCTCTGTATTGTTGCTTCCACTTTCTTCATTCCCATTCTTACTCATCTTCTTACTGCTTTCATTTTTCTCTTTCTTCTGCTCCCTGCTTTCATCTCTTTATTCCCTTTAAGTTGAGTAGGAGAGGCTTAAACTTAAGAGGACTCACTCGATGTGTTAGTGGAATAAAGAGAGCGTGGAGTGGAGTGGAGCTGTTAGCGGAACAGTAACTGGGGTCCAGGTGAGAGTAGAGTCTGCTCAGCTGGGCTCAACACGACTGCAGTGTCCTTGTTTGAACTTGTACTTCTCTGTAAAAAGAAGACACAGCAGAGAGAGTGCTTTTAGTAATGAGCATCTGCACTTTAGACTTTGGCTGTCTTAGAAGTTGCAACTGAGTTTCCCACCGGTTGTGAAAGGGCAGAAACAATTAATTAATTGGTTAATTCTAGTCCGCGCAATTCGATGATTCCTCTGGAGGCATTTTTTTTAAAAGTATTGTGTATGTATCATTATTTTTACATGATTTACCTGAATTTAGTCATAAAAGCCCTGAGATAAAAAAAAAAGTTTTAGAGAATGCTCTTGCAAACATAGGCACTGACAAACATGTATATGTGAAAGCAATTAAACAACATTGAAGCTATTGGTTGCAATACCAATGACAACCATATCATAATTTATCCTTGCATCAAACCAACAACCTTAATGCCATTTAAAACAACCAAAGGGTTAGCCAATGAAATAAAAACAAACAAGACATGTATTCAACTATAAGACTTGTATTAGATATTAACACTTAACATTAACAGCCAGGAGATAGTGTGCAAAATGCAGCAATAACTTACATTCATACCTCATTCATACCAACGGTGTTTCAGGGCCGGTTCGGAGCTGGAGCTTGAAAAGCACCGGGTTTTCCTGTTCACACCGCAGCGGAGGTAGCCTCTTAGCTCCGGAATCCGGTTCGTTTCAAGCACCAACAAATTGTCCGGCAAGAGCAAAAGCACCGCTTGGGCAAGGGCAACTCCTGAACAACAACAAAAAGCCCACGTTTTATTCAGTTTGTACACAACGATGAAGAAACTTAACAAGCAGCAGTGGTCCACTGACGAGACCAGCTACCTACTGGTAATCTGGTCTTCCGAAGAGGTACAGAGGAAGCTGGAGCACAATCGGCCGTTGTTGTTGTGAGGGGTTTCCGCGCGGTTTGGCTTTATGAAGCAGGCACACAAACGGTTACGTCATGACGCAATGACGCAGCAACAGTCGGACTATGGGCGGTGTGAAAAGAGCCGGAGCTAAACCGAAGAACCGGTTCTGAACCTGAAAAGCTCTAGCACGGAGCTTGAACCGGAGTTGCGTTGGTGTGAATGAGGTAATAGAAACAGAGATACAGATGTAACTTTGGCTAGCAAAGAACTAAAACC